GGATCAGATACACAGGAGTTCCTGAAGGGGAAGAAAGAGGCAGGGGGCAGGTCCCTTCAGACATGTCCTTAGCTCCCAGGCCCTAGGGGGAGCATCTTTGGTTTCCTCTGAGGGGTGGCTAGAGGAAGAATCTCTTCAAAGGATTTTGCCTCTTGATTGTCAGGACCAGACATGCTATTTACATTTTAACAGCTCTCAGCAAGTTTGCAATTCCAGAGCTTGTGAAAGAGCAAATTCTTCCTAAACCACTTATTTAAAAAAAATATTTTATTTTTTTATGTGTACAAATGTATTGCCTGCATGTATGTGAGTGCACCCGTGTCGTGCAATGCAGTGGAGGTCAGAAGAGGGCTTCAGATTCCCCTGGAACTGGAGTTAAGGACAGTTCATAGCCGCCACGTGGGTGCTGGGAATTGAACCTGGGTCCTCTGCAAGAGCAGCCAGTGCTCTTAACCACTGAGCTGTCTCTCCAGCCCCCCAAACCACTTTTTGGTTAGGGGAAGTTACAAATCAGAGTCCTGCAAGACAGACTGGGCTCATTTGTATTGGTTTTCAGTCCAATCTCTCTATCTGCCAGATCTCTTATCTTCTAGTAAGGAGGGAAAAGAATAAATAAAGAATTCTATAGATGTGATCATTGCTACTGAACAGACCAGAGACACAGAGGAGATGAATCAGCCCCTTTGTCAAATCAAACTGGGCAGCAGACCCTGCAATTCATGTTGTAGACTTTCAAGAGCTGTTTATGCTCTGAGAGAACAAATGGCCTAGACTCTCATAGAACAAAGCTGGGAGGCCTGATACAAGAAAGGCAATGTCTTACTGTGGATTTGTGTCGCTGTGGCAGAATACCTGAGGCTGGACCATGTATAAAGAAAAAAGGTTTATTTGGCTCATGATTCTCATGGCTGGAAAAAAAAATCACAATAGCACAGGATACCAGTATCTACCAAAAGCCTCCGGAGGTGAGAAGTCAAAAAGGAAACAGTGAAACAGGTGCATGCCAGGCAACCAAGGGGAGGTGCCAGGACCAGTTTGAAAGCAGTCCAGTTCCAAAACGGTGACAACTCATTTGGTTCTCTCCCCCTCCACACCCCCTGTGGGCACACACATGCTGAGGGTTGAACTAAGGCCTCCTGAATGCTAGGCAAGCCCCCCACCCCACTAATCCCTCTTACAGGCCCCCGTGCCTCTCAATAGCACCACCTCCCAATATCAATACCTTGATGTCTTAGTTTCTTTTCCCATTGCTGTGATAAAAATACCCTGATCACAGCAGCTTAGGGAGAAAGGGTTTATTGTGGCACAGTTCAAGGGTGCAGTCCATCATGGTGGGGAGTCAAGGCAGAAGGAGCTTGAAGCAACTGGTCCCATTGCATCCACAATCAGCAGAGAGTGATGCATGCTGGTGCTCACCTTGCTTTCTCCATTCTTGCTTTCTCCATTTATAGAGAAGGACCTCAGCCATAGTGGGCAGATCTTCCCATCTCTATGGACACACTCAAGATAATCCCCCACAGGCATACCTAGAGGCCTGTCTTACAGATGATTCTAGATCCTGTCAAGTTGACAACAATAGCCATCATTCCTAGGGACCTAGCAAGAGGTTTGAGGAGGGCACACCAGATTGAAGCCCAACAGACAGCTTCCTGTCCCCAGGCCTCTCTGCCCCTCCCTGGCTCTAATGAACTGTCTCAGTCAACCGAGTCTTGTGTCCTATCCACTTTGTCCCTCCTTGCAATGACATGGCTCATTCCATCTGCCTGAGTTGGTGAGTTGCTTACTGGCAGACAGCTCAAGTCCAGAGGAAGAGAGGGGCAGGGATATGTGGTTCTGGGAGCTGTTCCTTCAGAGTGGATGGCTTTCTAGAGGGAGAATCAAGGAAGACTGTTTAGACAGAGAATCTTCAAGCTGGAAGAGTTTAAGTTCCTGATCCCCAGGACCCATGTTAAAAAAAAAAAAAAATCCTGGGGGAGGCCAGGTGTGGTAGTGCATACCTTTAATCCCAGCACTCCAGATCCTCCTGCCTGTTCCTCATCAGCATATCCTGCTGGAATGTATGAACCACTTGGGAGGCAGAGGCAGGCAACTCTCTGTGAGAGTGAAGCCAGCCTGGTCTATATAATAAATTCCAGGCTAGCTGGGGCAACAAGGAGATATTGCTAAAAAGAAACCAAGAAAACTCCAAAAAACAAACAAACAAAAAATCCACAAAAAGCTCACAAAAAGAGAACAAAAAATATTGGGGATGCTGGAGAAGACACTGACTGCTCTTGAAGAGGACCTAGATTCAGTTCCCAGCATGTACATGGTAGTTAACAATCATCCATAACTCCAATTCCAGGGAATCTGACACCCTCTTCTGGCCTCCACAGGCATTGCATGCACATGATGTAATTACATGCAGGCAAAACACTCATACACATAAAATAAAAATAAAAAATAAATTAAAAAAATACTGGTTGTGTCTACATAGACTTGTAATCCTTGCACTGGGAAGGTGGAGATGAGAGGTAGATCTCTGGGGCTCATGGGCCGGCCAGTCTAGCTTGCTTGGCGAGTTCCAGACCAGTGAGATATCCTGTCTCAAAACAAACAAACAGAAAAAGGTGAAGGCTACCTGAGGAAGGACACCCAAGGTTGTCCTCTGGCCTCTAAACTCAGGTCTTCATGCTTGTACAGCAAGCGCTCTTACCCACTGAGTCAGATACCTAGCCCGATACTGTGTATTTAAATGAAACATAAAGAGAAGAGGATCCTCATCAATGGCCAATTACCCGTGTCACCAGAATTCAAAAGCCAAGAACATAGTACTACCCAGCTGGTGATAAAGACTACATTCCCAGAAAGCTGTGTTTGGAAACAGCTTTATTTGAAATAATTAAAAAGATTCCATCTTTGCAGCCCAACTGGCAGCAGGTCCCAGGCAGCTTGACTTTGTGTTAAGGAATCCCAGCTAATGAATTCTGAATCAGGGACAGAATTTCCATGCCAGTGAGTACAAATTGCCTTTCATGAGCCTTGGTTCTATTTTGGAGCAACCTGAGGCCACTTCTCGGTAACTTGTAAGGGAGCTGGAGTGGCAAGTACATTTCCCATGAGCCCCCTGGTGCTCACGGTGAACCCCCACAGTGGGTCATCAGCTTTCCCCAGAAGCAGATGTGAGTGTATGTGTGGTGTTTACATGCACCTGGTGTAACCCACAGTCTAGGCAGCGCCTCACTGGAAATCACACATCCTCTCTTTCTGTCCATCTTTAGTGTGGGCAAAAGAGATGGTAATACCACCTCAGAGGGACAAGAAGGGCTGTTGGCTTTCCACAGGCATCTGCCAGGCACCTCTGAGTTCAGAGTGGGAGCCAGCAATGGACACTTGAAGTCACAGGCAGGTTGTGATCACTCCAGAGTCCACTCTGCAGAACGCCTGGGCAGAGAGGCATGCAAGGCCTAGATCCTGGCAGTGCCTTTCCGGCCCTGCCTTGAAGGCAGTGGCCCATTTTGCTGACAGAATTATCCCTCCACACCTCCAGGAAAGCTGGCTTCCAAAGGCTATGCCATGCTAACTGAATTCTGTTGTGTCTCTCCCCAGCCAGGGCAGCTTCGAGGTGTGGCAATAACAGACTGCCATACCACAGATGGGATGCAAAATGTCCAGCCCATCTGTCTTTATCATAGCCCTTTCCTCTTTTATTAAAATGTTAATGAATATAGTTCTTATTTATCATTCTATGACATGTGCAGCACCCTTTCCGGGAGACAAATCTCTAGTCTGCCTGATGGTAAACCCCATACACTGTTTTCCCATTGCATACTGAGCTAAGGAATTCAGAGGAATTTTGTTCCTCCTCTTAAACTGCCATAGGCAGATTGAACAAAAGTAAAACCCAGCTTGGGCTGGGGTGATAGTTGTCAATGAAGTCCTTGAGGAGCTGAGTTCAGTTCCCAGAACCCATCTAAAAAAGCTGAGTGTGTTGGGGCTGGAGAGATGGCTCAGCATTTAAGAGCACTGGTTGTTCTTGAAGAAGGCCCGGGTTTGAATCCCAGCACCCACATGACAGCCAACAACTGTTTGTAACTCCAGTCCCAGGGGAATCCGATAGCCTCTTCTGACCTCTGCGGGCATTGTACAACACGGATGCACTTACCTACAGGCAGGCAATACACACATACACATAAAATGAAAATAATAAATTAAAAATAAATAAATAAAAAAGCTGAGTGTGGCGGTGAATGCTTGAAATGCCAGCACTGGGGAGGCAGAGACAGGAGGATCCCTGGGGCTTGCTGGCCAACAGCCTAGATGAATCAGGGAGTTCCAGGTCAGTGGCCTTGTTGCAAATGAGGAAGGACATCCATGGTTGACCTCTGGCTTCCACATGCATGCACTCACATGTTCATGCACACTTGCACGGAAAGAGGGAGAGAAAGAAAGAGGGGAGGGAGGGAAAATAACCTCAAGTGGATGGCACTTGAGGAACTATATCAGAGGTTGTCCTCTGATCTCCACATGCATATGTAAATACATATATTCATACACACACACACACACACACACACACACACACACACACCTTTCCTTGCCCAGGACAGATGTAGGAATCTTCTCACCTACTTATCGTGGGACAGACAAAGGACTAACAGGAAGTGCTACTCTATATTTGCGGAAATATCACTGGTTGCTAGCCCAACAGCTAGCACATGGATGTGGTTTGCACATCCATCAGGTGTGTTAGCCATCACCTTCTGGTTGAGCTGCTCACATGCTAACTGCCACAACTCCTGCACACACAGCCTCAGTGGGGTCAGCAGTATGCTTCCCCTTATGTTACTTTTCTCAGCAAGGCTCTGACGTCAGCCCTGTGTTTTGGGCCCTTATCTCTCCCGGCCTCTCCTGGCACTGTCTGGGAAAGCAAACAACATCACTGACAAGAACACATTTGCTCACTCACCACTCAGACGTGTGCTTATGTGGGTTTGTCTCTGTTCTGCTCACCCTTACAGACTCTCCTTGGAAAGTGCGCCTGTCAAACGTCGGCCCTGAGATGACAAGTGTCACCGTGAGCAGCCTGACTCCAGCCCGCACCTACCAGTTCAGAGTGTGCGCTGTGAACCAAGTAGGCAAGGGCCAGTACAGTGCAGAGACCAGCAGGTGAGTGGGCTTGACCGCCACATGGGGCCCACGGTGATGGGTGCCCCAACAGGTGCATCACACAGTAGATGCAGGGATGAACTATCATCCCTCGGGGTTGTAGCAGAGTCTTGAGCAGAAAGAACAAAGGAGGGCAAACACTGGCCTGTGCGGGGCTGGCTGAGCTTCCCTGAACTGCTTGAAGGCAGCTGTCATGGATCCTTCCCATGATGCCTACACAGATCACTCCTGAGAGCACAGTCTTCTTTTGTGGGGGAGGGACAGTGGGAGGAGATGGGGTCTCACGTAGCCCAGACTGACCTGGAATTAACTATGTAGCCAAGGACGACATTGAACTTCTGTTCCTCCTGCCTCCACCTCCTGAGTGCTGGGATTGCAGGCTTACAACACCACACCTGGTTGATACAGTGGTGGAGCTAGAATCCGGGGCTTTGTGCATGCTTGGTGTCCTGGTTTCATTTCTGTTGCTGTGAAAGGGGTTATTTCAGCTCACAGCTCCAGCTTACAGACCATCATAGCAGGGGAGTCAAGGGAGGAGCTTCCAGCAGCTGATCACATTCATCCATAGCACGAGCAGAGAGATAAGTGTATGCATATGTGTCTGCCTGCTTGTGCTCAGCTCTGTTTTTCCAGTCTTACACAGTTCCAGACCCACTGCCCAGGGAATGGTGCTGCCCCCAGTGGGCTGGCTCTTCCCATTTTCATTAACTTCACTAAGACAATCCCCCACAGATACGTACACAAGCCAACCCAATATAGACTCTCACTCACTGATTCTGGGTCATGTCAGGTTGACAGAGCTAACCATAACACTGATGGGCATCTACCAGATGAAAATCAGCCATCACCTTCTGGTTGAGCTGCTCACATGCTAACTGCCACAGCTCCTGCACACACAGCCTCAGTGGGGTCAGCAGTATGCTTCCCCTTCTGCTACTTTGCCCAGCAAGGCTCTGACGTCAGCCCTGTGTTTTGAGCCCTTATCTCTCCCGCTCATCTTTAGGTTGATGCTACCCGAAGAGCCACCCAGTGCTCCCCCCAAAAACATCGTGGCCAGCGGGCGAACCAACCAGTCCATCATGGTGCAGTGGCAGCCGCCCCCTGAAACAGAGCACAATGGGGTGCTGCGGGGCTATATCCTCAGGCAAGTACCTGGGACAAGCCATCACTTTGTCCCACTGTCAGTAGCAGATAACCAGTACTGCCAGAGCCCAGGCTCTAGGGAGGGGTACAGATGGTGGCAAAGCTGAGCTCACAAGCTAGTGGGTGCCTTGCTGAGTTCTCCTGGGGGAGGGGGGGTGGCCACCTGCAAAGTCCACAGAGATGAATGTCAGAGGTTGCATTAAGCCTGACAATGAAGGGGGCCATTATGGGAAAGGGAACTGGACATGCTATTCATTGAACCCTCCTGATTCATTTTCAGTTCTCTCCAGACATGTATATTATTAAGCACAATCACTGAACTAATTGATTTACTTTAGTTCTTAATGAATTGTTACTATGCTAGCTTGTTGCTCAGTTTTGCCAGATCTTCTAGTATCTAAAGGAAAAAAAATTGTATGTGTATATGTGTATGTCTCTCTGGAGGTATATGCATGTGAGTGCAGTGCTAAAGGAGGGCATTCAATCCTCTGGAGCTTGAGTTGTGAGCTGCCCGACATAGGTGCTCAATACTGAACTTGAGTCTTCTGCAAGAACAGCAGGTACTCTTATAACTGGTGAGCCATCTTTCCAGCCCTTTTACATATAACCACAATGATTAGGTGTTAGAAATGAAACCAAAATATTTTTGGATAGGGTGTTTTGGATATGCACATATGACAGCCAGATTTTGGAAAAGGGTGGCCAGGTTGCTGGCCCAGCCTTAGAACGGATATTGAGAGAATCACAAGAGAACTTGGCTGTGTTCAAGAGAAGGAAGCTTCCTTTGCCAAAGCTACTGCTAATTTTAAAATTATTCCTAATGTGATAATCACAGCAGTTTGATGACACAAATAAAAAGAAAGAATCAAGTTGTATTAAAGGAAAATTATCAAATCTCTCATATTGTATCGCCGTTCATTAATTTTATCAGCTTTACTGGGGCAAGAACATTATCCTCTATTCTGCAAATCCAGCTCCCACTGAGCTTGGGATTAGTGAACACTTGGATAACAGAGGCCTTGACTGGACAGAGTTGATTTCTTATAGAAATGGAAGAAAGCTGTGGAAGCATTGCCTTTTTTTCCTTTTGGTAGGGTTTCATATAGAAACCCTGACCTAGAACTCATTAGGTAGCTAAGGATGACCTTGAACACTTATCCTGCTTCAACTTCCCATGTGCTGGCATGATAGGCATGATTCACCGTGAGTGGCTGTAAACAGGTATTTTTGAGAGCTGTGAATTTTCTCTAATATCTCTTAGAGGTATGCTACCCACGGAGCACTCCTTCTTCCCTTTATCACATATATTTAATATTTATTTTTAAGTGTGTATATCAGTGTGTGTTTGCATGTGGATATGCTCATGTGACTGCAGGTGCCCTCAGAGGCCAGGAGAGGGCATTGGATCTCCTGAGATCTGGAGTTACAGGTGGTCATGAGCCATCAGATGTGGGTGTTAGGAAATGAACTCGGTTGAGCTCAGGTCATCAGCCTTAGCAGCAATTGCCTTTAACTGCTGAGCCATTTCACCAGCTCTATTACACATTTTTTTAAACATGGTCTCATGTAGCCCGGCCTGGCCTCAAACTCATTATGTAGTCAATAATGACCTTGATCCTCCTACCTCTGCCTCCTCAGTTCTGGACTTATAAGCCTGTGCCCCAACACCTAGCTTGAGAGTGTTGCTTCTTCAACTCCATTTTCTTTATTTATGAAGGATCTATGGTTATAAACCCTGACTTGTCAGTGAACAGAGGAGTTAGAGGAAATGTTGGGCTTCTAAGCACATTGAGAGAGCCTTAGGAGAACTTGGCCATGTTCAAGAGAAGTCTCCTTTCCAAAAGCCACTGCTCTGAGTGGCCATAGCTGTGGATCTCAGCCAGTCCTCTGTGTCCTCGAGGTTCGTTCCAGCCTATAGATTCTCCTCTAACTGTGAGCCAGACAGTGTCTGCCTGAAGGAGTTTGAAGGACAGATAGGCAGTCAGCACCCACTGTCCCTTTGTCTCTGCCCTCAGCTGTCATTCCCCCACTTGAGGAGGGTCAGAGGGAGTGGAGGCATGTTGTTCCTGCAGGCAGCAGCCCCAGGCTCTGTTCCAGCTGATGGCAATTGACAGTCCCCTGACCTTCCTTCCTCACCAGCCCTCCTGTGGCCTCACACTGAGTGTTCCCGTGCCTCACAGCTTGCAGGCTCTCTTCCCAACTCCAGCCATCCCTCTTGTCCACACCCGTCAACTAATGAAAATAACTGGCTTGCTCTCCCCACATCCTCCCCTTTCTCAGCAGCTGAAGGAAAGTTTCCCAAGGCTGAGGCTGTCACATAGGGACAGTGATGGGCGCCCCACTGAACGCTCTTGGGGACCAGAGCATAATAATAAAATCTTCTGATGTTATGAGGCCAAACAGCAGACTTCAAATTTCTCTATTTTGTAGGATTACTGTCCTTAAAAGGATTCTGGGTGATGGTGCTACTGGAGTAGAGTAGGGAAGAGGGCATCTGTGTTCGCTGATGGCTTAAATTTAAGAAAGCCCTAAAAACGAGGGTGCACCACCCCAGGCCTTAAATATCAAAGTTTGCAGAAATTAAAGACCCGGACAAAGATGCATTTGCCTGCAACCACTTCCAAGCAAGGCTCCGGCTTGCAGATCACCCTTTGGGAACAAGCATCCTCCAGGGCACAGGCTCTCTGTTGGATCTGATGTGCAACGCACAGGAGCAAATGGAAATAAATCACCCTGGTGACTCCCGCCATGAGAAGTAGTTAGGATGTGTGTGCAGCGATAAAATATTTATAATAATAGGCAGTGTGTTTCTCTGAGAGGCGCACAGGGTTATGTCCTTTAAAAAGCGTTCTCCTGTTTATTTCTGGATAAAAACTTATCTGTCCTGGCTGAACTAGTCTCCAAGGTACAGAGCCTCCCAGAAAGGAGTAAGGGGGAATACTCTGCAGTCTCCTTACTGACCTTGACCTCCCCAGACATCTTGAGTGCATCACCAAGGCACTCAGCCCCCATCAGTGTGGACCACCTTGTCCGTTCCAAGTCCAAAAAGTGAATTCTACAGTTTGTTTCTCGCAGTCGTGTCAGATGGCTGAGAAGACTGAGAGGTTGGTGCAGCCTTCCTGTCCTAAAGAGGGACCCGAGTCTGAGTTTCACAATGTTGGTTACCTTGCTGTTCCTTGGAAGGTGTAGGTAGTAAGGGGCATACATGAGCCAGCCCTTTGCAAGTGTTCTTTTGCAATTTCTCCTGCAAAGCTGTAAAGATACATCTGTTTGAGGCATGGAAGATGGCTTAGTGGGTAAGAGGACTTCCTCTGCAAGCATGAAGACCTCAGTTTGAATCCCTAGCACCCACGTAAAAATCCAGGCCTGGTGGCAAATATCTATTATACTGGAACTGATGGGGCAGAGACTGATGGATGAAATTCATTAGCTAGCCAGCCTACCCAATGAATGAGCTCCAAGTTCAGTGAGAGACCCTGTCTCAAAAAATTAAGATGGTGGGCCAGTGAGATAACTGCGTGGGTAAAGTTGCTTGCCACCAAGCCTGACAATCTGAATTCAATCCCCAAGAGAGAACTGACTCCTGAAAATTGTCCTCTGACTTCGTGTGTGCTGTGGCACATGCACATTTCATCCACCTTCAAATAAATAAATATAAAAGTAATTAGGAAAACAGTAAGGCAGAGAGTGTTTGAGGAAGACTGATGTTGACCTCTGCTCTCCACATGCGTGTTCGCACGCAGGTATACAGGTACCCACATGCACATGTGCACACATATGTATACTACACATACACATACAAATTTATACTAAAGAAGCATCCGTTCACCCCATTCAGAGGACACTGACAGACTAAAGGAAGGATTCTATCCAAGTCCAAGTTGGTGAACCTGGGATTCATTTAAAGCTGCAGCACCAAAAAGTCCCATTCCAGCATGGGCAAGTGGGAAGAATTCGCCTCCCTGAAGGGTTCATCCCCCGTCCATTCTAATCAAGGCCGTTGTTTACCTCCTGTGTAATCTTTGGGACAGGCAGGGCCTCCTGAGGATCTGTGAGCCTCTCTCCCCTGCCAGTATTAATGGGCCCCATCTCCTTGTGGGTCACTTGTGGGTCATTACAGCTCCTCTGATCCTAGGCACAGAGGAACCACCTATGTGATGGTTCATGTTGATTGTCAACTTGACACATCTATGAAGAGGGAAACTTAATGTAAGAATTGCCTACATTGGGTTGGCCTATGGCCATGTCTGTGGGGACATTTGCTTTATTGCTAATCGATTATGAGATTCCTCCCCTCTGTGGGCAGTGCCATCCCTGGGCAAGTGGGACCATACAAGAAAGGTAGCTGAGAAAGCCGAGGGAGCAAGCAAGTAAGCACCGTTCCTCCATGGCCTCTGCTTCCATGGCCTCTTCCTCCGTTCCTGCCTCCAGGTTCTTGCCTTGAGTTCTCTTGATGGTGAACTGTGAACTGTAAGCTAAATTAAACCTTTTCCTCCCCAAGTTGGTTTTGATCAATGTTTTATCACAGAAATAGAAAGCACACAAGCAGGGGCCTTGTTCAGCTTCATACTATACATACAGGGGTCCTGTCCCTTTCACCTGCCCAGCTGCTTGGATGTGTGATGTGGACTTGTGCAGCCAAGTTTTACCTTTTCACAAAAAGTTAATTGTCTTGGTGCTTGATTACATAGGTGAATGTAAATGGAAATATCTGTCAGGTGGGTTCATCCATGCATGCCAGGCGCACTGCCTAGAGGATCCCCATTATCTAAATGAGCCGAGCTGAGCACCTGGTATGCTTTGCACCTGCCCTTGGCCTGGGGCTGGTGATCAAGGAAGGAAAGCCAATGCAAAGGAGCTGGTACACCGAACAAAGAAGTAGTTCAAGGACCAGGCAGATGGCTCAGAAAGTAAAGGTGCCTGCTGCCAAGTCTGATGACCTGAGTTCGATCTCCAGGACCCACATTAGTAGAAAGAGAAAATTCACTTTTGCAAGCTGTCCTCTGAAAGCTATGTATGCAACTTCTGCCACCCCATCCACACACACATAAATAATTTTTAAGATGTGCTTTAACTTTCACTTTTGTACACCTCAGTACCGCACTCCTCTTTCCCTAATTACCTCCCTCTGGACAAGCCACAGGCCACTGCCTTCTCTCAGACAAGAAGCAGAGAGTGGTCATTTCTCATCCTGTGACAAAATGCCTGGCAGAATGTAAAGGAAGAAGTGAAAGCAGTCCCAGACGGCAGTCCATGATGGCTACCAGCGACTTGAGAGACTCCCTCCCTGCTCGGGGACCTCCACTCAGCTAAAGGGGACTCTGAGCACGCTGCAGAAAAGAATTCTGGGTCCAGCTAGAGTGAAGCGAAGCTATGGAGTTCATTAAGTATTTAGTCAGTCATGCAGGAGAAGCAGAGTGGACAGCCTTTAAAGGCATGGTCCCCAAGACGCCCTCCTCCACCAGGTGTTTCCCATCAACTCCTGGTTCAATTATGAAGCCACTGATTACATCAGAATTCTTATGATCTCATCAGGTGGGAATCAAGACTTAAATACACAATTGGAGAGCCATCTCTCCAGCCCCTTGATGAAGTTTCATAGTAATAAAACAAACAAAAAAGCCATAAGTCAAGGTACTTTTTAAATACATTGGTGGAAATATAAAGTTGACAGGTTACAAGAAGTTGGGGAAGGGACTAGAGAGATGGCTCAGCGGTTAAGAATACTGGCTGTTCTTGCAGAAGACCTGGGTTCGAATCCCAGCACCCACATGGCAGCTAACAGCTGTCCATAACTCCAGTTCCAGGGGATCTGATGGCCTCTTCTGTCCTCCTCCGGCATTGCACAACACAGGTACACTTACCTACACTCAGGCAATACATGCATATGCATAAAATAAAAAATAATAAATAATAAATAAAATATGTTTAAAAAAAGAAGTTGGGGAAAACTCTGCTACAGGCCTCAGATGCTATCAGATGACAGCCTTTTGGTTGGTGGAAACTAGTGGTCTGTTAACACATTTTGAATTGGATGAACAGATATTTATTATTATTTTGTATGCATATGTGTAGTATATGTATTTGTTTATATGTATGCATGTGCACATGTGTATGTGGGTACATGTGTACCTGTGTGCAAATGTATGTGGAAGTCAGAGGTCAACATGAGTCGTCCTTAAATGCTCTCTACATTACTTTAACATATTTCAAAAGTTTTTAATCTGTTAGTCATAAGGATGTTAGATCAGACATAGGTGAGCAAGGAATGGATATTTAGGGGCCTAAAGCTAGCCCCAAATAAATTATTAAGCTCTGGACTTGCAACATTCCAACCTCTCCAGGTTTTTCCAGGAACTTGTGTTCATAATCGTTTGAGAGGACACTTCTATCAAAACCATCACACAGAGGAAGGCTGGCTTTGAACTTTGCACTTCAAGTATTCTCTGCCCTTCATCACTTATAGACATAAATGCTACCAAGTAGGCCTCACCACATACAAATGGCTTATAAGGAGACAGAACTACTAAAGAATGCTCTCAGAAAATCCTAAATTGCAAAAGAAACTTCTAGAAACATCTGTGGTCTTCTCTCTACTTCCTCATGGCATATCTAGCTGCCAGTTTCTTAAGGAAGTCATTTTATAGCGAAGCACTTACATTTCTGGGTTTTAGCTCTTGTCCAACCATGGTGACCTTGCTGATGGGCTGGTCTGTACTCACCTGTCCCTGGTGTGTCCCTTCCCTTGAAGGTGCTCTATCCTGTCTACCAGGGCAGCCTCTCGGAAGACCCTGGTGACTGCAGCATGCCGTAAAGTTGGCAGATTTATGGCTGCTTCTCTGTTTGGGGTGGCTCGTCAGTCATTTTCCCATCTCTGTGTATTACACAAAAGCCACATCTTGCAGAGGCAAGAACGACTTCTGGGATAGAAATGAGCCGCTTTGAGAAGCTGCAAGATGAGTGTACGTGTCTCTCATTTTACCCAGGGGAGCTGATCCAGAAAAGCTTGGTGAATTAACTGAGCCAGTTCAGTACATTAACTTCTATAAACCGAATCATGGAAAAAACATTTGCTAATCAAAATAATGCACTGAAAGTCCTTTCATAGTACAAAAAGCCATTTCCTAATTTATGCAGTTTTTTAGAGCAGGGTTGTGTAAGCCGTCTTTTTAATAAGCACAATTTAAAATTTCTGCATTGGTATAGCAATGGGCATGCTAACCAAATCCTTGCAAAGGCCCCCTGAAAAGCAATTTTTCATGCTTAGCCATGGGCTAGCACTTTAGAAGTGTTAACACATTTCAAAGCCACTGATTATAGGTCTGGGATATCTCTGGACAAATCTAGAATATTCCTAAATGGAAACAGAACAGAGAGCTCACCAGGAGCCAGTATACTGCTTCCTTCTTGATTTCTGCCCACAATACTGTCTCAAGAGAAGACCTTTTTCCTTCATCCATGATGAAATCATGTGTCATAATTACCTTCTACTGACCAAAACCAAGTTGGGGAGGAGAGGATTTATTTCACTTTACAGCTTACAGTTGATCATCATGGAGGGGATCCAGGGCAAGAGCTCAAGACAGGAACCTGGAGGCAGGAATCAAAGCATGAACCACGGAGGAGCTGCTTACTGCTATGCTCCTCTGGCCTGTGCTCAGCCTGCTTTCTTATATAACCCAAGACTACCTACCCAGGTAGTCACTCGAAAATCAAGAAAGTGCCCCACAGACTTGCTCAGAGGTCTGTTAGCCAGAGGAAGTTCCCCAGTTGAGGTTCCTCTTCCCACGTGTGTCAAGTTGACAACTGAAGCTAGCCAGCACATCAGGTTTGAAATCTTGGCTCTTAAGTCACTATACACACAGAATGGGTTACACTTAACAAGAAGAATTTGTGTGTGGGGGGTACACATCTGTGATCTAGATATTCAAGAGGCTGAGTCAGGGACATCATGAGTTCAAGGGCACCATGGGCTACATAATGAGACCTTGTCTCAAAAAGGAAGGAGGAAGGGGAGGGAGCTGCTCTTTAGGTTCCAAGACTCCCATCTTCCCTTTCCCCATTCCAGAACCTGGGACAGGTCTAAGCCTGACATTAAGGTGCTAGGTTAGTAAGCATGCCCTTTAGCTAGGAGTTTCTCCTGTTCTTTGGGATTTCTCCTATATTTCCTCAAAATGAAAACCAAAGCCAGGCGTGGTCATGCATGCCTGTGGTCTCAGCACTTGGGAGGCTGAAGCAGGAGGATTCTGCAAGTGGAGGCCAGTCTGGCCTACAAGGTGAGTTCTAGGCCAGCCTGGACTACATAGCAAGGCTATCTTTTTAAAAAGGGCAGAATTTGGACTGGTAAGATGCCTCAATGGGCAAACACACTTACCAGCAAATATAACAACCTGAGTTTGAGCCCTGTGACTCACATAGTGGAAGGGGAGAGTCCACTCCTGTAAGCTGTGGCCTGATCTGACCACGCAGGTGCCATGGCATGCATACACAAACACATAAATAAATGAAAATTTTGTAAATTAATGCAGAATTTTTCCATAATCATACTGTAGTTGAAATGACAGGTTGGCTTTGCCCTGAGTTCATGGTCACTTTGAGATCAGGATATACCATGTATGTAAAACCATTGCTTTAGGCCAGCTGTAGCCAGGGCTGAGCTTGCAACCCTGGTTGTGTCTACCCCTCACCCCTATCTTCCTCTCCCACTGACCCGAGTCCTCTGTGAGTGGCTTCCCTGCCATCATAGTTCCTCTTTGCTGCAGGTACCGCCTGGCTGGCCTGCCTGGGGGACACCAGCAAAGGAACATCACCAGCCCCGAGGTGAACTACTGCCTGGTGACTGACCTCATCATCTGGACGCAGTACGAAATTCAGGTGGCTGCCTACAATGGAGCAGGTCTGGGCGTCTTCAGCAGGGCAGTGACAGAGTACACTTTACAAGGAGGTGAGCAGCCAAACTGGGAGAAATCTACAGAAATGTGTGAAGGATTTCCCACAGAGGATGTCCTCTGTAGGAAACTGAGGTTGGGGTTGGCCAAGTCTAAGGAATGTGTCAGCAATACAGAGGATGTGATCCTCTAGGGAACTGTGGACATGAAAACAGCTCTCACCTCAAAGGAAATGAGAGAGTTCATTCTGAAGCCAAATATGAATGACCATGGGCCAGGAATACGGATTCGAGTTGCCCCCAAAAGATATGTAAGATATGTTCCATTGTGGAAGTGGTCAGAGAGTTTGTCAGTTACAGATCACAGAGCATCATAGATCAAGGTACTTTAAAAGTACATTGGTGAGCCAGCCGTGGTAGCACACACCTTTACTTCCAGCACTCGGGAGGCAGAGGCAGGCAGATCTCTGTGAGTTCAAGGCCAGCCTGGTCTCCATTAGCGAATCCAGGCCAGCTGAGGCTACAAGGAGACCTTGTCTCAAAAAGACTGCCCCCCCAAAAGTACATTGGTGGGAACATCAGGTAGGATGATTACAGCAAAGCGGGGCGATCTCAGCTGTAGGCCTCAGATACTGTCTGATGACACTCTTGGCCTTTGGGTTGGTGGAAGCCAGGGGTGTGTCTGAACATTTCCAAATGATTTATCTGTTAGTCCCATGGATACGGAATCAGACACAGGAGTGAGCATTAAGAGACTAAAGATAACCCAAGATAATTTGGCCTTGGACCTGTAACGCTCTAGCTCTCCACAATCACAGAAGTTCTCATCAGCTGGTCAGCCTTGTAGAGCGTTTAACATAGGTGTGTTTTTTTTATTTTCTGGGAGCGTCTATGTCCAAGAGCTTTAAGAGAAAAGCTAACCACATATAATTCACATGTTTAATCTCCCAGTTCCTTTCTAAACCACAGCAATGTTGTTGAGGGGAAACAATAGTGTCCTAGCTGCCTGGTGTCGTTTTGTCCTCTGGGTACTGAGGACAGACTGCATCTATGTGTATCATACAGAGTCTCCAGAGAGTCTGTGGAAAAAACTTTCCTGAACAGACCCAGTGTGTTTTGCAGTCAAGGGGGTGGTACAGTGTTGTGTGCTACTGACGTTATCTTTAGAGAATGACCGTTCCCAATTCTGCTTTAAGCCTTTCTAAGGCATGTAACTCCTCCTTCCTTCTGGAAGATTCCATTTGCACCCCAGGTAGGGCTGACCGGCTGGATTACTATCTCTGCATGTATGTATCATTGTTGTCCTAGACGGTAATAAACAGACCCTCTCTTGACTTGACTCTACCACAATGGTCTTACAGCAGCCCAAATCCTGGCCTGGGGAAATAATTTTCCCTCTTGCTTAAAAGCCTTTCAATGTGGCAATTTATGCCACCTCTCAATTCACAGGTGCAATTTTATTTGCTTAGGCATTTTTATTGCTACCAGGGCCTTGACCTTTTTTCAAATGATAAGGTTTCTAACTGCCCACTTCTCGCCCCAAATCCTGCCTGCGACCTAATGTTCCTTGATATTACATGCTGTTATTATCACCCCGTATTGATTGGCTGTCGGTTGTCATCCTCAAGTCCATAAATCCTCCTTTACAAATTAAGAGCAGTCAGTTCCGCCTGCCCAGCAACTACCAGAAATATTAAAATGCAGGAGGGCTGGACAGGGCCTGTCCATCAGCAAAAAGATTGCTGATCACCCACTTTGAAGAGGGAGACAGAAAAATCTGGGCAATGAATGCTGTTTTTAATGAGTCTGTTTAATAAGACAGCAGTAAACTTAAAATGACTAATGTGGGGTATGGAGAGATCGCTCAGTGGTTAAGAGCGTTTGCTCCTTTTGCAGAGGGCTGGAGTTTAGTTCCAAGTAGCCATATATGGCGGCTCTCAACTGCCTGCAGCTCCAGCTCCAGACACTCCAAATCCCTCTTCTGGTCTCAGTGGGCACCTGCATTCATGTACATAGATTCCCCACACAGACACACATGCATACATATAATTAAAATAAAGTAAATCCTTAGAAAATGACTAAGGTGGCTATGGACAATCCCCTACCACTACTAACCATGACTGCCATTTTATTACCAGTACACCTGAGTTCCTAGGAGGGCAGAAGGAAGCAGATTGAAGCCTGGTTGAGGAAAAGTTGGGGCTGGAGAGTTTGGTTGGTGTGCCCCTGGCACTGTGGAGCCATGAGAGGTTTAAGAGGAAGTGACATGATTAAAATGCTAAATCAGAAAAGGACTTTGTCAGTGGAGTGGAGGCAAGATAGGAGGGAGTGGAGAGGACAGACACAGGGAAGGACAAAATATTGATAATCTGGCTCTGAAGTACTGGGTTCTCCCTACTCTGAGGCTGGCAGTGAGAAGGGACTGGGGTGTGTATTTGGGTGGTGCATTGTCCTTTCAAACCAGATCACACAAGGGCTAGGGAGATGACTCAACTTATAAGGAACTGAGTGAGATCCCCTTGTAAAAACACCAGATGTAGTGACATGTCCTTGTAATCCCAGCATGTGGTAGGCAGAGACAGGAAGATCCCTGGGGCTCATTGTCAGCCTCAGAGTAGGTGAGCTCCATGCCAGTGAGAGACCATATCTCAGAAAACAAGGTAAATTGTTCCTGAGGAATGACACCTGAGGTTGACCTGGGCCTCTCTGTATATATGTGCACTAACGTGCACATACCCACACACAGAAGTTCACCTGTACACACATACACACACATGCACACATGTATATTGCCTTCATCATGCCCACTGCACTGCTACTAATGAATGCATGCTTGTCTACAGCCCTCATCCTGCAGTTGCCAGATAATAGGGCTGGGTATAAAAGCAGGAACAGAGACCAGCCTCTTTCCTGAGCTTCTGATACTTTCCAGGTAGAATAGGACAGGTTTTGTCATCAATTACTTTTTTTTTAGATTTTTTAAAAAAATTATGTGTATAAGTGTTTTCCTTGCAGGTATGTAAGTGCACACACATCATGCAATACTCACAGAGGCCTGAAGAGGACACTGGAGTTACAGGTGGTTGTTAGCCATCATGTGGGTGCTGGGAACTGAACTTGGGTCTTCTGCAAGAGCAGCCAGTGCTTTTAACCACTGAGCCATCTCACAGCCCTGAGTTACTTTTGTATAAGGAAACATCATGTTCAATGGCTGGATTTGGTTGGTGTGACATCACATGACCAACAACTGGCAGAACCAGCATTGTATTCGGTCCTCAGAGCTCAGACCACAGTCTCTGTGAAAGACTTCATTTGCCTTTGTGTTAGTGCAACTCCGACTTCCAGTCACTGTTGGTCCAAATCCACTTCTTCCTCTTTACTTTATGTAACTGCTCATGAGCTGATGTTGGGGACTGATACTTCAAACAGTTTTGCATCTTGCTGGCATTATGTCCCACGTTTGGATATATGCTGTCAGGCATCAATACATGGAGCCCAGAATTCCCACAGGTTCTAGGGGTGCCTAAGGCCATGTCCTTAAATCATGTCATCATTCACATGATGTTCCTGCCTGTATGTTCTTGAGGAATTCGTGACATGCACATGATATTCATCAAATACAAGTTGATTTTCTTCCATGCATGGACTTCTCATACAGGGCACATGACATGGGTATGTTCACATGCCTCCCAGACTGAGCCTCTCCTGGGCCACTAAGGCCTGATTCATACTTAACACAGTACACCTTGGATGTGCAATTAATGATCCAGGGTGAGAATTTCCACCAGTAAAACTGGAATTTTCGTCAGCCCAGTGTGCTCCAAAAGTATCTGTGGAGAGAGTTGGAGACTAAGCACACGAGCAGGCTGTGGGAGCTGAGGTGCGGCAAACACACCATGAAGTGTTGCCATCTGTGTTTGGTTTTGTTGTTTGTGTTTGGATTTTTGTTTTTGTTTCTGACACAGGGTCTCATATATCCCATGAACTGGCTGTGCAGCTGAAGGTGACCCCAAACTTCTGATCCTTCTGAGTGCTGGGATTATGGATGTGCACCACACATCTGGTTTATATGGTTCTGGGGGTGCCCAAGGCCTCCAGCATTCTAGGCAAGCCCTCTAGCAACTGAGCCCCTGTGTGTATCTTCCTATTGTGACTATAGCTGCCATCTACACTGTCCTATGAAAGTCTCTTACAGGAGGCAGAGGGATGGATGCTGGAGGGGCAACCAGCCCCCGCTCCCTTTCCAAGGTGACCCCTACCTAAGGGATTACCCCAGGAGGCTATGTAATATCTAGATATAAAACTGCAGAATAGTCTAAGGCTATCTCCTGGGCAATGCCTGGGGTACTTCCTAGACACCCATGCTAAAACCAGCAGAGTTTTCAGGTGCACAGCCCCAATTGGCTACAACTTCTGCTCAGCCTCACTGCAGCCTCCAAAGTTCAGCCCTGGACTCAGGAGGGCTATCTCTGCAGTAGCTGAGCCACACTCCCTTGCTGCCAGGAGGCCACTTAGTATCCCTGGGGCATCCCACAGCTGTTAGCATTGTGTGTTGAAAAAGCCCAGAAAAAAAGCCCTTGAAGTAGGTAGGCCCTTCAAGCTAAAAGGAGAAAAATTAAAAGCCTTGCATTTAAAAGGGAAGAGAATAATTCATAAAATTAATTGTCAGCTTCATTTGGGGAATCACAAGCATATATAGAAACATAATTTGTCAGCCAAACTGGAGACCCTGAGGGAGGCCGAGGATGCTCAGCTAGACAAGGTGAAGTTTCGGTCCAGCTGGCCTGGTCTCCCTCTTTCTTCAGTGAGTGGCAAACTAGGGAAGCACCCTGCACCATGTAATTTATCTTGACTCTCATAAGGCTCTTGGATAGAGCCTGGAGAAGGGCAAGGGCCCATTGGGGAAGTACAAGCCACTATGTAGCCATGTGGCTGTTTCCTAGAGACTGGAACTCAGATAAATTCTCAAAGAACACATCAGTACTGCAACACAGCCCGAGGGAGGAAAGTGTGCTGCTCACAAGCTGCCCAGCGGCAAAGCACAGCCACAGAATACG